CCAAACTAAGTTAGTCTGAAGAATAGCTGTCTAATTACGTAGAGACGCGTGGACTCCAATTGAAGTCAGAACAAAGTGATTGGGGTAAAAGCGGTTCTAAACAAATGTTACCGCTCAGTTATTCAATCAATAATTGTTCCCACACTAATCGACCGAACGCATCAAAAAATAAGTGTTATTCTATTCTTTCTGGATAAATCACGTAAAAATCCATTCAAAAGGATAATAGTTTGTTGCTTTATAACACAAAGTGTTTCCAATTCTTGTAAAGTGCTTCAATTCACAACCAGAATGCACGATCCCAGTCAAATGAAGCAACACAATCAAAGAGAGAACAATCAATGTGGCTGCCGCCAGTATTAAATATCAACTAAAACAACATAGATACAGTTCAGGAAGAAACATAGAAACTCAGTGAAAGCGAGAGAGAAAATGAGAAAAATATTGTGAAATGAAACATTAAAATCTCAAAAAGCATCGGAAGGACTAACAAGATGTACAACTAAAGATAACAATGAGAAAAAGCTGCAAATATGTGCATGGAGGGATTTTCACACGCAAAACCTTCGAAATGGATCTTACATAACCACACCTGGCAACCTTTGACTGCTATGAGACACTGAATATAAGTAAGGCACTTTCAGTAGGGAACTCTCAGCTATGTACTGTGTTGTACGGCATTTTCAACAATCTATCGAAGGCCGAGAATTCACCATTTTACTGATCATAAACCTCTTACCTTCTCTTTAGGCTAGTCTTCAGACATGTACTCACCTCGAGAGTCTCGACAACTTAACTACATTTCGCAGTTTACTTCGGATATACAACACATTTCTGGAGCAAACAATGTAGTTGCAGACGCATTGTATCGTATACGTTCCTTGGCCAGTTTCCAAGGAATCGACCTTCTTAAACTCGCTCAGCTTCAAAAAGAAGACACTGATCTGCACAACGAGTTTTCATCGACAACACTTAAACTGCGTATTAAACAGATGTGAACAGGTAAGGAAACCTTACTATTTGACACATCTACAGGTAGGGATCGTCCAGTCGTACCAAAACGTTATCGACGCAACGTCTTCAATACGTTGCACAAACTTTCTCATCCGGGTGTTCGTGCATCCATCAAGCTTATAGCTGAACGGTTTTGCTGGCCTGGTATGAATAAAGACGTGAGGGAGTGGGCACGCTCCTGTGTAAGCTGACAAAAATCTAAGGTCATTCTGGAAGAAAAATAAGATTTCCGGAACATTTAAACGACTATTACACGTAGGACTCCAGATAACATTTTGCCTTATCTTGAATTTCCTCTGTATTACTGATAATAAAATTTTTTAATATGCTTATACTTATACATTTATTCTAAAAAACAAAAACGTTTTTTCCTGATATGTGTATATTTGGTCTTCCTCTTCACAGAATACAAAAAGTTCTTTAGAAATTGCTTTTACGCTGTTGCAGGTGTATGAGTTTATTTACCTTTTCTCACCCGCTTTGTGCCTTTACGCGCCTACGAGTGTATTTCGACATTCACTTTTTCTTTTTTTCTTTTCCACGACGTCTGGAAAAGACGACAAAAAGAAAGTTGAAGTTTACGAGTAACCCAAGTTTTCATTTTTCTTTGTTTCCTTATTACTTCTTTAACAATTTGATCTTGCCTGTAAACCGGCATGCCTCATGTAACAATCTGTTATTTGAGAATAAATTATTATTATTATTACTATTACTATGTTGTACTTCATGGCCCCTATTATAGTAAGGAAGTACGACCAGAAGCTGCTGAGTCATAGCAAGCTATCAGAAGAGTGTTTACCAATGACAAAGTCATCAAGTTTCAACTCCTAGTTGGCCACATCGTAGGGTAATCACTACCTCACTAGGGGGGGGGGAGTGATCTGCGGCTGTGGATAAATCCCCAAAATCAATAGCTCTGTAAGTCTTCGACATTTGATGATGACCACACTAGTTTTAATGGAATCACCTAACTGAAGGCTCTCGGTCATGCATCCGCAACAGACCACGAGTGGGAACGTCGTGCTCAACTCCTCCTGCGATCGCTAGTCAGTTTAGATAAGTCACTTCTCGATATATTGATAATCTGTCATATATATATATATATATATATTCCAAATTACGACATGAACCAAAATGTATCCACTTAGGAACATAATCAAAGTGGATAGAATGCACCACAAGAAGTTATCATTAACGATTTTGCGCAATTCGAATCCTTTAATTGTAATATAGGTAGGTTTAATTTGCTTCCAAACTGTTTTTATCTACGTTTTGTCTGATAACGTACACCTATCATTGTTAATTAATAGCCACTGGCTTCGGTGAAAACAGAATCAAATGTCATTTGTAGTGTCAACGACTAATAAACTTTGATAGACTTATGCTATGATAACGCCCATTGGATGAGATTTTTGTATTGCTAATATACTCACCGTATTTGTGTTGAGTTCCTAAAAGATTGTAGGATCGGTGAAACATCATTGGGTCCTAACTAAGTCATTCATCAATGTGCACTGTCTCTATGTTAGATGGCGGATTACTGAGTAGTCAGTAGTTTATCGAATGTCGTCAAGATCACAGACAATCGATGCTGAGCGAGCAGTCGCACTCCGTGGATAGATCCATGCAGGAGTGTCTATACTATGTACTTCTCTAGTCTATTTTATCTCATCCATAGTACTACTTTGGTTACATATTATTTACTTCGTACAATTATTAAAAAAGCCACACTGCCTGACCATCACAATAAGGCGATCCAGATGAGGCATTTATCTAGAGTTTTGACTTTGATACAAGCCAAGAAGCCACACCATTCCTGTCCAATCCTGGTGAACCCAGCACGAACAAGATAATTAATACCGTCTCTTTGAGGGACATGTTTATAAACAGCTTCTCCTGACAATTACAACATGCAAATTCAGAATCGTCTGTAGAGTAGACAATTATGGATGTTGAAATGGATAGTATGTAGTGCGTATCAAATTGAACAAGTTTTTATGTCAATTAAACTGAGAGATTAATAGTCAGAATAAGTATCGATGTAATTAAGACAAATGAAATAATGGTGTAATCATAAAACAAATCGGCACAATAAATTCCAGTTATGAAAATGCTTAAGGAAATGTTGTATAGCTAGGCGTCCAAACGAGGTCATCTTATGAGTAAGATGATCATTGACTTATTTGGCCGGAATTTAGCAAAGATGAAAAAACGCTAACCAGAAAAAAAGGTGAAAGAAGCAACTGAAAATTTCGTTTATACATAAACTTCCGGTTTATAAATCCGTCTAAAAAACGTTGAGTCCGACGACTTTAGTCAGAGATCAATCCTAACCGACGTATCAACTTAGCTAAGTTAATTTTATGCGCTAGTAGTTTTGAAGCCAGTTATCTTCGATTTTTCCAAACGATCCTAAATTCATATTCACCCAAGAACGTGTTTGCCCAAAAATCGGACAGTCCCCGAGATCATTCGACTGGCATTTTCGTTTTCCACATTCAAATATCTTGACAAAAAAGTGCTTCCATCTGGTTGTTGTTTGTGATTTAGTGCTTTGATCAATAACATTGGTGACGTCATAGGTATTGTATTTTGACAACACTTCAACCAGCAACACCTTCTATGATTGAATCGTGCTCACCCGGTGAAATCTAAAATCCGAAGCGAGGAGGTTGGAAAATATATTTGGTAGATTATATATATATATCGAGAAGTGACTGATCTAAACTGGCTAGCGATCGCGGGAGGAGTTGAGCACGACATTCCCACTCGTGGTCTATTGCAGATGCATGACCGAGAGCCTTCAGTCAAGTGATTCCATTAAAACTAGTGTGGTCATCATCAAATGTCGAAGACTTACATCAAGGAGAAACTCTTCATGATGGTTGAGTAGGGAAGTTCGCACCTTTCTCCATAAGAAAGTAAGAATGCGGAACAGATTTAGGTTACTGGGGTCTGATGAGGCAAAATCTAACTATCGAGAAACCGGAAATACCTGTGCCTTTAGAACTTCAAAATAACCTGGAGAAATTATCTGAATGGTCTCAAACTTGGCAGTTACCGACAAAGATTTCCAAGTGCATTGTGATGCATATTGTTTATCAAGGTACAGATTCACACATGATTAATAACAATGAGCTACCTGTTGTCCAGACACACAATGACTTAGGGGACGTCGTTGGCCAAGACTCAAAAACGACTGCACACCGCCGTGCAATAGCCGCCAAAGGTTTTATAACCTTTTGGTCAATACATAGGGCCTTTGGTCGTTTCGACGCTAAAACTTTCTTGACTTTGTACACAGTATTCGTGCGTCATAAACTTGATTACTGTATACAATCGTCTAACGCCCGCTTAAAAAAGACTGTGAGTTTTCGGAAAAGGTTCAGAGAACAGCAACTAAACTGATTCGCGGAATGGCTCTCGTATGATGCTCGACTGGCTAAGCTAAACACATTTGCATGTGATATGCCCTCATTTTTCTTGTGTTCCAAAACAGAGTATTTACGAGGACACTCTAAGAAAGTTCACAAGCCCAGAAAAAATTACTTGTCAGCTGACTATCGACTTACCCATCGAGTCATCAACGAGTGGAGTTCATTACCTCAACACGTGATTACAGTTCCATCTATCGACTCTTCCAAAATAAAGTTGAACCAACTGAGAGATCATCATTGCCAGGACTAACACAGGCCAACTAGCCTCCTGTTCTTTCTAAACTGAAACTGAAACTATTGATTTCGGGCATTTATTTACCGCAACATGTCTGTTTGTAACCAAGCTGCGCATGATCACTGAGTAGGACAACAAATATTGTTCCGGCTGTCGGCCATTGTTGATTTAATGCAAAGATGACTGAGGACTAACACGCTACTCTAAATTCGCTGTATAACAGGTACATTGTAAATTATAACTCTATCTACCAAAATCGGTTAAATAAAGGCCTATTATCAGATTTATATGAATGATTGAGCCACACTTATGGCATGAATGATAAACCACGTAGGATTCCTTTAAGTTTTGTAAATGCGGTTTTGACGAAAGCCTATTTACATTATGCACATTACTATTTTACCAGTCCTTCGACCTTGATGTTGGCAAAGTTTGAGTTACCCAATCACGGCTTTGATGAGTCCTCACGTGTTTGTGTCACAAATTGTCCTCGGTGTTTAAGATCAAACCGTATTGCTATTAGAAAAGGTGCCACGTCTTTCAATTGGTGTTAAGTTAATTCTTCGTCTAATTTTGTTTATTTAGAATGACTAATTTTCAAGCTCTTTAAGCAATTTGAACCATTTGAACCATTCAATTGCATTAATGCATAAAATTTTGTGTGTATACACAAATGTCGATGCGAGAGACGTTACTAGCATCGAAAGCTTATTTGCCAAATCCTAGCTTGTTCTGTTTCTTCTAAAGTTGATGTTTTTAACCAGGTTTTCGGTTAGTTGTGCAACATTTTTGTGTATATATAAACATAATGTACTTCGTCATTTTCCAGGCAAACTTCTATGTATGTAGTTTTTGGTAGATGTTAACTTCTGTGGACACCTAGGCGTTCACAGCTGTGTAGTTGCCAACATTACACCAGTATAGGAATTGAAATCCCTTCTCATCTGTTAATAAAAGGCTGCAATGTTATTTGTGTGCATGTGGCTTCATATCCTGTCCACCGCATTTCGAAGTAGTTTGGTTAAATGTAATTCCCACTCTTTAGCATAAAAGAAATTCTGTGGCGGGATTAATTTCTGAACGAACCAATCAGTTATAAGATAACAAGCCTCGTCTTTTGACGCAAAATTCACTCATCCATTTGGCTAAATAGAGTATTGGAATTATAGCTGATGTCAGTTCGTGATGAAAACCCCAAATTTTAATCGTAATCTTAACCATCAACGGTGAATCATAATCCTAACCACTCACACTGGTTTATAGCGTTTACTCCTAATCACAACCATTCGTACACCTAACTAGTGTATCAAAAAGAAACTCATGACCCTACTCTTTCACCACTGTATATGTTTACCCACACCTTAAGATCAGTAACAAACATCAAATTAGATTATTTTGTAAAATAGAGTAAACAAAGGCATTGGATCATATCTTGAGTTACTTGACTCATACTTAAACCCCATCAAGATAGATTGTCATATATCCCCACTTTTTGATTTGTATGGCCAATGAAGTGTTTAGTTTAGTACTTATTCTTTGATTTGGTTCGAAAACTGAACTTTCACCTGCATATTCTCTGGCTGATGTCTCTAATCAGTATGTATTCAGGCGTACTTTTTTCTTCATCTAGTCTACTTTATTTTTATTTATTTATTTGAACACAGCTCCTCTCTTGCTTCTCACATCTTCCATTGTCCTTCGGAATTGTTTGTTGATACAAATATGATCTATCTGATTCTCTGTGGTGTGGTCTGGCAAGATCCATGTAGTTTTGTGTATGCGTTTGTGTGGAAATATTGTGCCGCCTGTAACCAATTTGTTGAATGCACATAGATTTGCAAAGCTCTCTCCATTTTCATTCCTCTCTCCCGTCGTCGTTGCTATCATTTGGCGGTGCATAACGTTGGGTAACATTCATTGTGATCCCCCTTCTTTGTTTTGAATGATGCTTTGATAATTCTGGATCCATGAGATTCCCATCCTACAAGTGCATTTCGTGCTTCTTTGAATAGTATTAGGGCAACTCCGTGTGTGTGTAGAGCATTTTCCTCTTCGTGACCAGAGTACAGCAGCATCTCTCCTGTACCTAGCCTTTGCTGTCCAGCTTGTTTTCAATGGGTTTCGCTGATTCCAAGTACTGCCAGTTTATATCTTCTCGTTTCCATTGCCATTTGACTGTTGTTCTCGGTCTCCCACATTGTCCGGATGTTCCATGTACCTATAAAACTTGTTGTCCTGGTTGTTAGTAGGGGCATTGGCCTCGTGACTTCCGAAGGATCTCGGCTTTCATCATGAGGCGTCATAATTCTTCTTTGAACTCGGAGAGCAGAGTTTAAATGGTTTGAATTATTTTTTCAGGTTAGCGTTTTTTGGCGAGTTAGTTTTCTACGGGATGGGGTCGCTAACCCCATGCCCAACCTTCCTCCTTTACCCGGGCTTGGGACCAGCAGTAACTCTAGAAGAGCTACAGGCGGGGTTACAGGACCTGATAAATTGAATATATGAGGAGTTTTGTTACTGTTGTGTGAACGTAAATATCTGAGATACTGGGTGGGTTCACGTAAAGTTACCTATGGTATCAACAGAATCAGGTATTTTCTTTTAACCATGATAGCACAATTCTACCATTATTCTAATGTCTTGTAGTTCCTTATACGTGGTATTTAGTGGTTTCTGTAATTGTGTATGAACGTCTTCACTAAGGTCTCATTTGGGAAGCCTTCAGTATCCAGTTGTTTACTTTTTTCCGTTAAGGATTTTCGGATCGTTGATCGTTGTAACTATTGTATTTGGTAGTATTTGTTCAGTATAATCGCTGTCCAGTCATCCTAACTGTTTATTTTTTTATACTTATCTTATGTATATCATAGGCTCATCGACTTTTGGAAAGCAGTGAAAAATTGATCTGTATCGGTACTGGCTAAAATCTTACATGGATGTAATTTTCGAAAGCTCACGTATTGCAAAAAATGTCTCATTCACAACTTATTGCCGTCTATTGGAAAAACTAGCATCAAGTGATGTGGTCAAGACGAAAGAAAAAATTTTGTCCGAATTTGTAATTTTATGGGAGACCCAGTATCTCGCATTAGACTCAATAAGTCAGTATCCGTGTGGTGGCCGAGCTAGTCTTTATTTACTCTTGCGTTTGTTAATTCCTTCTCATGATAGATCAAGGAAAGCTTTCGGATTGCGTGAACAGACACTATCAAGACTAATAATTAGAGCTATCGGACTAGCCCCAAACAGTCTGGCTGCTCGTAAACTTTCACATATTCATCCTAATAGTATCCATCGACAGACTGATTTCGCCGATGTAGCATATACAGTGCTCAAAGCTCGATGTCGTGAGGACAGTGTTTTGTCTGTCAAGGTATGAAAATATGTATGATTTCAACTTAGTACTCTATTCAATTTGTTCATTGGTTACCGAAACTTATTACATCCTCAGCATCTCAGTTTATGTCTTGACACTTTTCCAACAGAGATGATTGAAGTCTCTGAAACAATAGCCACCAATGTTTGTATTCAGAATATTCAGACTACTTTGATGATTCAGAAGGTTCTAAAGTGATAAACGTAATTCGGTGAACTAGGAATCAGTCAAAAAAGTGTTCTTCATCGTTTACCATCCCACGTCCGACATTGTTCAATATTCACTCATGTTTATCATACATGTCTGGAATCTAACTAACTCTCCTGAAATCAACCCCAACACATTTAGTCAGACCATTTTGGTTTGCAGAAAATTTGTCAAATAATGACTTCAATATTAATGATTTATGTTGGATACATCTATAAAGTGCAAGATAGGTTTTCCTAAGAATTATAAGTCTGTCTGTAGTTCTCCACCAAACAATGAAATATATTAATTTTATTTGAGCAAACTTGTTATTATCAAACAGTTATTTAGTATTTTTTGGGACAGTCTTCACTGAATTGTCGATCTTTATTGACGTATATGCTATATACACATGTTTTAAGAAGAAAAGTAATATCGCGGAAATTCTTATGATAATTTGTTCATGTCTTGTAATTAACAGTTTTGAGTGGTTGCTTTATTAATATTGCGCACTTAAACCCTTTATAGTTAAGTTAGCGCGACATTAAAAGCATGTGCTTTCAATGGCTGTCTGGCTTTGTCAAATATCTTTCTGATGACATTAGATTTGAATAACAGCAGTTTTTGTTGGTGAGAACATATGTTACATATGTGGAGCAATGTCTAGTCTCGTAATAAGATACTCATTGGAGTAGGATTACGATATTAAAAAGCTAAGAATAGACTGAGGCCGCACATTAATTCATGGTAGATTGTGATAATCTAAACTGTTAAAATCCATACAATTCGACTCAGTTGTAAGTAATTTAACTTGTTTAACTATCAACATTTATTTTTACCTAATTCCTATGAAATAACCGGTAAATGTTTCATGCTGGAGAAATGGTAGGGTTTCTAGATACCTAATCCTTGTTAGAGAAAACAAAGCAAAAAATGGAATGGAAAAACGACATTATTTGTGGTGTACAATTCGTGTATTAGTATTATGGTCCGAACATTAGATTTATTTCTTCAAGGTTGTATTTTAGTATCATGTCAGCTGGTCAATAGAATAAGTGGTTTGGACAGTGCGAGAACAACCAGGTTTGCGGAATAGAATGAACTAGTTCTTTTACATGACCCATCAGATCCAAGTGGCCTAAAATTAAAGCAAATACTATAATTACAAATAAAGATTTAACATACTTTGGTCAGTGAAATTTAGATGTGTGTTTCTGGAGAGAAACCAAAGCGGGTTACGGAATATATCGTTAAATATAGTTAGGGTCGGTGCGTATTTATGTTAAAAATATGAATAATAATGGTACGGGATAATAATAATCACTTGTGAGAAAAAGGAGATTACGTTTTTAGAACTCAACTCAAATTACTACGTGAGCATGGATAAGATTATGTAAGAGACAAGAATGGGGTTAAACAGCAAATAAGGTTATAAAGAGTTGTTTAATCACAGTCATAGTTGCCATAGCGAACGAAGGTTTATCACTTTATCTCTCTGAACACATAGGTCAGCTTGGAATCGTTTGATAGCAATTGCCTCATCAAAACGGCGTAAAATCGATATTGTTTGTTTCTAATTCATTTTAGATGCATAACTGGTATTGACTCCATGTTCAATACCCATTAAGCGCCTAGGAATCGCACTTGTGAAGGCTTTATTGCCTCTTAGGCATCGGCTTTTCTGAATGTATTCAAAAAACGTAGTAGAAGCCTTCCTCTGGGTCCTTCTAGTTATACTTGCCACCACAGGCATGTATAAATTCATGTATGCTATTAGAGGTGACGTCGGAAGGGGCTTGATCTGCCTTAAAGTGACTTAGTAAACGTCTAGTATTATAGTGAAATCAGTTGAGTTGTTAGAAAGATTTTCAGTCCCGCCCTAATTAGTCTCTAAACTCTTCATGAAATCTCATCTCCAACAGGAGGTAGATAGGGATAGGCTTATTACCAACGGTCGGTTCATAATGTACAGGATGCTTCTTTCCATATTTCTCGATAAATTTCTTTGGGTATCCATTTTCTATAAGGTTCTTTTCAAAGGTTGTCAATTCGTCTGTAATTCTGTTGTTTGGGCATCTTATTCTAGCTTTGTTGAAATGCGTTTTGACTTGACATGCAAATACTACCTGTTCACACAACTCCCTGCACGTCGTTAGTTAATCGAAGCTAATTGAAAGGGTGAAAAATATTACAAGACTTATTGAACTAAGTTAACTTTGCTGGCTGAATGGGATTTCTAATACGCAAGTTGTATTCTTTTGTTAGCTTTGCTAAGACCGAACATATGTGTTTACACTGCTAATAACATTCTACAAAACGATTCATTTAATGAGCATTAATAATTTCTCTATTTTTATTTACAAAATAAAGGATTTGAATACTCATTTAGATGACCTGTCTACTGCTGAATCGTACGATATGCGTTTACAAGTATTGCGATCGTTGTTACAGTTAACTACAGCTTTAGAACAAAAATGGATTATACGTCTTATTGTTAAACGAGATTCTGGTTGTGGCCTAAATGGGAAGAGTATTCTCAAGTGCTTTCATCCAGCTGCGGTCTCTGTTTTCGAAGTCACACAAGTTAGTTTTCTGCGTAACTGTCCATGAAAATAGTTGTTGAATATTTGTTGGTAATTTGTAGTCTCCTACTATTTTCGCCATTAATTTTTTCTCCTATCTTCCATTCACACTTTTATCTAAAAATATATGTTGTAAAATATGTACATTTGAACGCTAAGTCGTAATCTATCAGTTTTACTCAGTTATGAGCACAATACAATTATTAAAACTTACCAACAGGATGCTACAGCGTTGTGGCTGAGTAATTACTGTTCGCGAGACTAGATGTTTTGGTTTGTAGCGTCTAGTGAACAAATGACCATCCAACCACAATCGTATTTTTTAATGCAGTAAAACATTTTTAAAAAATGTAAGACAAGAAAAATGATTAGAGATTACACAACATAAGGTTTGTTGGCTGACGTGGAATCATATGTAAGGACCACTAAATAATTAATAAATTTATATTTTCGGATAATGGTCTGTTCTATGACGTATTTCGTCAACTTGTCTTTTCACAAAAGTTATATATAACCGTTTCTAATTACTAATTATCTATCCCTCCCCCTGTATTTTAAGGCTTACTACTTTTGTAGGCACTGTAATGCTCTGTGATAAACTACAACTTATCTATAAATACAGGCATTTATTTGAGAAAAAGTCCTAATTTGGGAACTTGTCGAGTAAAGTAGTGTGCAACAATACTAAATAAGAATAGTAGTTGGGTCTTAATGAGAGAAACCATAACACCTGTAAATCCAAGCAATATTAAATTCAGGTAGGGAGTTGGTCTTGTAGGTAATAAAATTAGTAATCTATATTGATTATTTCATTTTGATCTGATCATAACTGAGATGTTCTACTAACTCCAGTGATTGTTCTGTCAGGATGCAGAAATATATATCAATAGATGTAGTGTTCGATATTTTGTCAAACTTCATTCATTTTCTTTGTAGATAGATTAGTTTTCACTGACTTATTTTTTATTATTTTTTTCAGGATCTTCTCCCACTATGTGAACGAATCGCAAATATACCTTCCAACACATCCATGTTGACAGGACATGCTAACAATTTAAGCAAGTCATTCGATGTCACTCTTTTTGTTCCATTTCGTCCCATGTTATGCGAGCGGGCTAATAGTGGTGATATGCTAGTGAACTCAGCACTACATTTGTACGGTAAACAGAACCAAGGTGATGCTAAAGGATTAAAATTTATTTTCGAAACGAAATTCGATGGAGAACGCGTTCAAGTTAGTAATCATATATATCTTTATATTATTTATTGCGGAATACCAGTGAAAATGTACTTTACTGTGACAAACTATGATATATGTCGTTCTAATGATATAAATATACTGTCATGTAGCTTATAATGTGATGATCCGTACAGCTATTTCTTAAAATATTATGGTCCATTAATCTGCTTCAATTTCAACAATCAGAAAGTTTTGTAAACATACACATAGTATGATCTTGCACGTCCTGACCAAATAACTTTTATGTGATTTTTAAGTTATATTTTTTCTAAAAAGTTGTCAAAAATTGTATAATATACCCATCTTAATGTAGTGTAACATTTTAGTTTGCTGTTTTCTGATGTGTTATTCCCCATAAATATCAAAACCGAATCACTTAATCATCGTTTCTCTTCATGGATAGGATGATTAGAAAAAGTTCATTATGAAAAAAAGAAGCAATAAATTGAAGAAACATAAAATAAAATCCATTTATGGATGATAAGTGTTTTGTCATAGATAATGAAGCATAGACAAGTCTCTAATTTTCTGAATGTGACTTGCTTTTCTCTAGTAACATAGTCTTTGATTCTCCTGTTTCATTTTTCTTTTCACCTTTGACCATATTTTTCTCATATTTAGATTTCTATCACAATTTTTATTATATCCTCTTTGCCAATTTACATCTAATTAATTTCCTCTTCTCTTCTTGTGCTGATGTAAGATGTAGGAATTAAGACCATCAATACATATTCGTGCTGTGTTTTTTCTACGTTTCTGTTGGTAGATTTAAATTGAAAAATAAAATATATTAAAAATTTTTTCCTTCCCAAAATTAGCTTCATAAATCAAGTAATTCTTATCGATATTGGTCAAGAAATGGTTTAGAATGGACAGCAAGTTACGGTGAAGATGGTACTCGAGATTTTGACAGATTATCTGCTCAATTACATTATGGATTTGCACAGCATGTAACTGATTGCATACTAGATGGAGAAATGATGATATTTAGTAAGTGGTCAAATTCAATTATGTCAAAATCAACAAAATTTGATGTAAAACGGAGTTCTTATCAAAATCCAGAAATCGATAATTATCAACCGTGTTTCATTGCTTTCGATATACTTTATTTGAATTCACAAGTATGTTTATCATATCCATATCATATTAATGGTAATAATACTAATGCTTCAGACTGATTTAGAATTTGCAGTAAATTAGTGGGTAGTTTGCATTAGTAGTATGTAACTTTTTCATAGTCATGTGCATTTTTATCCATTTCGAATCCATGAGCATATGTGGAATAATTTTATACCTAAGGGAAAGGTGTTTGAAATTCTCGTTGTGATCTAAATTTCCTGTTTATTTATTTATTTAATCACATAAATATTGATACAAGAAGGCACCAGATATATATGCGCCACACAAATCAATTGAGGTTTGTGTGAGGGCTGTGATACTGCCCAGGTGCCCAAACTGAAATAGGTGATTTTCTTAAGAAGCCACACCCCGAACCTTTGACCTAAAGGTCTGGTCCACAAGGCAGTGGAGCATCGTGAGGAGATGCAGTCTCATGGTAACTGGTGACCAACGATTGATTCATACATCATTTGTTCCCTCAGGATAGTGGAGTCCATGTGCACCATTGTTTTGAAATCAGGGTTTCCGACTCCCCTAAGTGGACTTTCCGTGTCCACCAACCCGGTTATAGTGCCGGACATTGGCTTTTCGTCCTCTCAATTTTGTAAACAACAGTAATGCCACGAGAAGGCAGTGGGTAAGACTTCCCTGTCAGAGTCTATATACGCGTGGTCATGTGAGAGCGTTTTGAGAGGGAGAGCGGACTCTCCCCACTCTCGGCCGTACCAGGGCATTTGGCGGTACACATCTAAGCAACCTGTTAGTTCATAGTCTATTATAAGTCGATTGATGGTATAACTCTCTTGAATTATTATAACAACAGAAAAACCTAACCACTGCATTATGCTATCAAATACAGTCAGATTTATTGCTTTTAATTCTATTGTGTAGATTCGGACATCTATATAGAATGTTTTAGAAGCATTTCAAATATCCAGGGCTTTGAATCTTATTTTAGATACCATGAATAAGATTCAGTGAGTTAAGCATAAAAGTGATTATCACATATAGGGAGATCTACTAATTTATTGTTCACAAATAGAAGTTAGAGAAATAATTCTGTCGACAACTATTTAGCTGGTTGGTTTGTGACTATTTCAATAACAGACAACTGTAAATTTTTTGGACAAAGAAAGAAGTATGTGAACATTATAACACCGAATGGTTAAACCATAAAGTCATTATTTTCAGTTGACTTATGGGATATCTGTATGCTCACTCGATCCTTAAATTTATTGGTCACAGATTTAGATTTACTTTATCCGCTACAGTATAAGGAATCAGGCGATGTAATTCTTCACGTAATGAGAAGAACTCATGTCCTATTCCATGAATCTACAACTGTTATAACTTGTAGCCGAGTGGATGCCCTGTTAATGTATGACGTGATAAGACCGTCAATCAGAGAGCAGCAAATTATCGATTGGAACAGTGACGTACGAAAACCGTACGAGCAGTCTAGAGTACGTATCGGTCTTGCTTCTGTCTAGCCCAGCCCAGCCAGCCTCTGCGGTATGAATCATTATATTTCAAACATACTGAGTTTATTTACTAATCAAACTGACCACATCGCACCATAAAATAGAAAATAACATGTGTACAAGATTTAGCCAAATGTACTCGATAGACTGGGTGTAATTCATGAATGGTAAATCGTATAACAATAGTTTATAGTTCCAAATAAAGCTCATGATAAGGGGAACATGAATATGAATAGTTTAGTTATTTACCGATTATATGATTAAAAATGGATCCCGAAGTTACCATTCACTACTGTTATCGGGACATAACAACAACCTGGAATTTTCAAATATGTTTTTCTACATGGTTTGTTCTACTGTTGCAAATGATCATGCTTTACAGTGTTCTGACCGAGCATTGTTATAAACTTGTATAATTTGAGCGTTCTGTTAAGTTCCAACTCGGTCGTTAACTACAATATATTTTTATTAGTAATAAGTATTGTCTACCTGTTTTACATGTTTAATTGTTCGTTCCAAACTTATGTACTATTTGATAACTTTTTGTTACTCCCTCAAGTTATTAACTTCAAAGTCCCTACTGCAGCGTAAACATCTTTTATCAAAGGTATTCAATTTGAATTCAACATCACTGGATACTGACTCGTTTATGGATAGTGATGAATCATTAGATTTCAAACCGATCCCTATTATAAATGGTATTATGTACGTTTCTAAATGGTATACTGCCTCAGCACATCAAACAGAAGTTGCAAGAGCTTTTAATCATCTTGTGGATAATCATCAAGAGGGTCTTATAGTAAAAATAGCCAATTCTCCATCTCCTTATCTACCTGGTATTAGAACTGATGGTGGCTGGTGGAAAATTAAACCAGATTATATACAGGGTTTATTAGAAGACTTAGATTGTCTAATTGTCGGTGGTTATTTTCATCATCGTGGAAATAAGATAATAACAAGAGTTAACCATTTTTTATGTGCTGTTCGGAGTGATGAATCCTATGAATCTACTTCAGAAGATAATTTCAATCTAACACGGTTCTATACATTTTGCAAGGTACGCTTTCTCTTTAAATGTTTAAGTTATTTAACACCTTACATAACGATTAGAGTATATTGGTTCCCATGTTTACTTTTCTTTGAGGATGCGCTAGAACAAGTTTAGCCATCTAGTATTCGATTTATCCGAATCACGTGATTCAGGTTTAAGTATAGTGAACAAATCGTTAACACTTGGGTCTCACTATATGTAAACTACTAAACTGTTATCATGACTTCTTTTAATTGATTGCTACTATTCATCTGGAATCTGATAGAATTGTTCAAATATTTAGGATGATTGAAAACTATCCACATTTGAAAAAGTATTTTAGCTGTATTTTATATTATTAAGCCCTTCTTGAACTATTAACATCCATACATATACTATTATATATTGTACAACAAGGAATATCTGTAAAAAGATTGTGATTTATTATTCATGAAAATAATTTTTTCTTATGTGAACGCGTTCATTTAATAAATGAGTTAATTCAAACTTCAGGAATGCGATGGTGAAAAACAAATCTGCAAATAAATAATTAATTCGATTCGTTGAATTTTCCACATTAATTAGGAATACAGTGCTTTTTTGGATTCTGTTCACATATATTATAAGCTTACGACTGGCTGTCAGTAAATTCAACTGCCTATTTTAGTATCGTTCCAGTTAAAATGAATATATAATACAATATTTAACCGTTAGTTTATATTTGACCTGTACGCAAATTGTTGTGTGAACAGTGTAGAAGGAAATGTGTGTAGTTTTTGTGGTGGTGGTCCATTCAACTATCTTGAAAATCCAATGTTAAGTCCTTTTTGTTTTTAATAGTTAAAGGACGAATACCGATTACTGAGAGTTCTTGTGGTTGTGTTTGTCATTGATAGGTGTATCAAGAGAGTATTCAAGTCTGCTAACGACTTTACCTGAATGTTGTTGATAGCAGACTATCATCTGAATTGGCTACACTAAATGGTAACATATCCATCTGCCTATCAAAGAGCGTATATATTGCATATCAGTCGATTCTGTATTAATTTGACTTGGAAGCATGACGTTTGGAAGTAATGTGCATAAGTTAGTAATTCCTGATCATCGTTGTCTTCAAACCATTGTTCTTTCGATTGATGCTCTTGAAAATATATTGTTGGGTGAAGGTGGCGAATCAGTTGGTGAGGTTACGAATCTGCGTGAGCTGAGATTGTTAGGCTATGTATTAAATGTATCTTCCTCGACGCTCGATATTGGCTAGCGTAGTAGTAGGCTGGGAGATGTGTAAGGACGGTCAAGCCAAGGCTTAAAATAAGTTGACGAATTCAATAACTGTTCTGAGTAATATTTAGCCGTGCAATATCTCTGGCTAGGATCTACTTGATAGTTGGGGTGATAAGTTAAAGATATTTAATGGAGCATCTCAGAATCGGTTTCAGCGGCGCAAATTCATTAATTCTATGTTCTTGTCTACAATTTTACATTTGATATTATCGCGTTCTTTCTATTCTGAGAATTCATCCCTTTTTCGAGTTAAGTTTTCTGTATTCATTTTACCTTACTGTCGTAGAAACTATCATTCAACTCCTGTGGTTTCTTTTTCTCATTGGTATGCTAATGTTCATCATCAATTCCATCCATTTCATTTACACATATACTTGGACGTTTATTCTATGATTTAAAATATTTTTCTTTCGTTACTTTGTTCTAAAAAAGAGAGAAAACCATTTCGTTTGTTATTTTTTGATAGCTGATTCAGCGATAGTGTATGAACTTGATGTAATCTATATTTAAATATTTGTCTAGTTATTGAAAGTGATGAGACAGTAGCTGGGCAAGTTTAATTCGATGTATAAATGATCTTACAACTTGTGTTCATAAATATATCCATCTAAACAAAATATTATCATAAGCAGAATTTTCAGAGTGTTTAACTTTTTTCTGGTCTATCAATCACTCTTTGATTTTATCTGTCCACTTTTATGTATTGCCTCACTTTTTATTGCTTCATCGTAAGGCTTTCTATGTTTTTTGTGGTTAGTACTGGGCAACAGAATTATAAACTAACCATTAATTATCAGTTTTATTTTTTTCTTGACAAGGTTAAATCTGGGCTAACAGTTAAACAACTGAAAGAAATCAACCAGTTGTTAGGAAAACATTGGAAGGTGTACGACAAAAAACATCCTAATTCTAGTTCTACCGAATGGTTATGTGTGAATTCTGAACGCCCAGATGTTTGGATAGCTCCACGATCATCGCTTGTTTTACAGGTTAGCCATCGACTTTATCTCATGCTTCATTTCTTCAGATTCGTAAATTTGATAATCATATAAAGTATGTTTTCACTTAGTACTGAATACTAAAACCTGATCTGTTTGTTTACTGTAATGTGCTAGATTAAATGAGCTGGTTTGTGAGCATTTTGATTTACGCTTTGTCTTCATGAATTCATATCTTTCATTATCACGGCAGAGTTGAAGCACAGTCACATGGAGTCTCACAATCCCAGTTCCGGTTGATATCAATGTTTTTGAGCATCATTGCACTCAGACTTAATGACAGTTTGTATTTTTGTTTCTCTCTAGACTTTTAAACTGGATATTTTACAATGTTCTGTGCCAATAATTATTCACTGTTTTTCTGTTGGTATTACAATCTGTTAGTTTTAATATCTTACTTGAAGAATTTTGATAGAACGGAAATGCAAATAACTGTGTGAGGGATTTCATTTTCTATAACCTTTGGCAACTAAGCGTTCATAGCACTAACTCTTTGTGACTTACTTCAAAACTTGCAGCAGTTTAGGTCACTTGAACTACGTGCAGTTATTAGTACAAACAAATAGTTTAGACTCAGATAAAATTGCATTGTCTAGTGCATATGTAAAATGGCACCTTAAAATTGCTGTATTGGGACGGACTACATTTTTGCTCCAAAACAGTTTGTTAAATTTTTAGCATTATATATGATAAAAGACTATCTTATTTAGTTGGAGTTTTGTGCATATTTGGTTTGATTTCTAGGTTTCATTCGTTACAGACTGATCTCGGTTGTGGGTTCCCTCAACAAACAAGGGTTACTGGACAGCTGTCTATGATAGGTTCAACTTACAGATATAAAAAATCCATTCAACTAGACCACAATATCAACTCACTAATGACTTTAAATAATTTTGAATTTCTAGTTGAAGTCTTGATTAATGGAGTTCAAATATTCCGAAAGTAAAACAGTTGTTACTGGCGGCATCGGATAATCGTCATGCTCTTCCACAAAGTGATTGAAGTCGGACACCGACCCAGTGGTTCCAATGATTAAGCGCCCATCGTGAGACCTAAATATCCTGGATTCGGTCTTCGGTGAGGTCCTGGGTCTGGACCCCTGGAAAGCCTCGTCCTAGGACGAAACAGCTGTTAAATATTCTTTGCTTTCCGGTCGTATGTGAGGTGAGATCAATCTGTAACGAATACAACCTACTAATTTGCTTCTCATGAAGATTTTATAGATTATCCTGAATGTAAATAAGCTAAAGTTAATCTACAGTTATTTTTTGTATTCGAATACTATTTTGATCTACTACAGCTTCACGGAGCTGAATTAATCCAGAGTGATTCATATTCTTGTGGAATAACTCTTCGATTTCCTCGTGTAGTGGCTATACGTCATGATAAAAATTGGCGTGATTCCCTATCAATGAGCGAATTAATTAAGCTGAATACTGAGACAGAGGTAACTAATCAGAGTTATGTGTAATTTTGTTAATGGTTTTAGCTTTTTTTTTAAAAGTAATAAATGTTTCTTTTCTGTGTCACATAATTGTTTTGTTCATATAGTTAATTGATCAATTTCATCTTGTCTATCATCTGCAAAATTAACTGAAATTCATTTCTTTCCTAGAGATTCCTGTAAAGTGTTTAAAAACAAAAAGTTTAAGCGAACACTTATTTCCAAGTATTTCATCTCTGGGCTACACAATATAATATGGATAAATCGATGAGTTCATCCTTAATTTGTTATGTCAGTCATGGCTTAGCTGAGAATATGACGTGCGATTCCATATTATATGAAATATAAAGTTAGTATATAAAAATAAAGTGAATATGTTATTTTTGTGAACAAAGATTAGACTTGAATTGGTGGATAGCTAGAGCCTCTGTTATTAGTGTTTGATTTTCATTCCCCTTGAATCAACTCTGCTGACTATATGGATGATTTTGAAGGATTCTGGTCAAACAACGTAACCCCAATTTACGAGATGTTCTAGAATTGAGCTATTGACTGACTTGTGCAATTCTTTTAATCTCCAGGTGGGGTAATAAACAGAGATGTGTTTCAAAAGAGCTCACTTTGTTTGACCAACATAACCCGTTCCATAAGAATAAGTGAACTGATAGATTTCCAGTTTGAAAGCTTCATCTACCAGACAAAAAACCTTATCTCTATTCTCAACAAAAAGCTTGGATAACTCAAAACAGCTATCATAAATTGTTGTGAATCGACACACCAATACAAAGTCAACAATTGTCGTATAATGCTACTTCTAAATATCTTGTTGAAAATTCATAATCGGTCAAAAATCGGCTCAACAAATATATCATCATTGATACATTTGATCTCATCCATTCAATATCCCATTACGATGTAAGTAAGAAAAATAATTTCATCAGATGTTATCTCTTAATAAATGTCCCGTTCGTTAAAACAGTTATGATTATTTTAAAAACAACAAGCCATATATTGGTGTTCTGAAACACATTGAATATCGAATCAATATAATCAAATGAGCCAACCGTGATATATAATGGGCTCAATCGATGGTTGGAAATAGCCAACAAAAAACCCTGGACCCAGGTTTCGTGTTATTTAGCACTCATCAGCAAGGTGTACCTGAAGTATTCAGCAGACTGATGCTCCCTGGCGGATTCGATCCCGTGTCACCCAGCTCAACAGTCAAAGGCGTTGTCGCTGAACTATTTGAGCAACAACTGACTTCCAGTAGGATTGAGATGTATTTACAATGTATTGATTATCATACACTGACCATCTCTTCACTTTGATTAGGGGTCATTCAATGATATTTGAACTCCTATTTATATTCCATTTTCCATATATTATCAATATTTCTTCAACATTTATAAACTCCTTCATTTTCTGGTTATTAGGGTAAATTAGCCACAAAGCGATTGTCAATTGTGCCAACATTTTCTGGGCTTGCAGATGTCCAACATCAACAATCTTTTCCAGATATAAGTAGTTTGAATAGTAGTTGCTCAAGTACAAATCAAAGTAGTGGGTATGATACATTAAATGAAACCACAGAACAACAAACAACTGGATTGTTTATAAATGTTGATGAACCTTTAGCAACATCTTCACCCATTAAGCAACGTAAAATTGATGTTTGTCATGAACATGTAGGTTGTGCTTTTTTCAAATTGGATACTCAGCGTTATTAGTTCATAGAGTTATTATTTTATGTGTATTTTATAGTGTTTTTTGATCGTCTCTAATTCTTGTCCAATTTATTGAGCCTTTTGCTAGAATTTAATGTTGTTAGTATAACTTAACTGTTTTCTTTTACTATTTTAACAATAAGTAATGTTCACTAAAATGTCAAGTAACAATACAGTAGAGTTATTGTAGACTAGGTACCATGACTTTGTTTAATAACCAGTGTATGAATGTAAGTACACTATTGAAAAATATCATAATTGACGTAATGGAACTGAATAATAGTTTGTAGGTTCTTTACGGTTTATTTAAATGTATTGTGAACAAATTATGATCGATTGGAGTAGGTTCAGAAGAAGAAAAAAAGAGCAGTTGGTGTAATTAATCAGTATATATAAGGTTGTTGTATTTTCTTGCTGAATATGTCCATAACTTCATTAGTCGATAATCTGTTAGTGAATGTGTCCTCTAAGCATGTATGCTTTGATACTGCTAATAATACTTAAGGACAAGGACAAAATGTATTCTGTCACCCGTTGTTAAACATTATAAGGAGTTTGGAATTGTGTTCTAGTTAATTATGTCAACATGGATCTGTTATCAGGAGTCATTTAAAAATTATCAACTGATTTGAATTATTTACACTGTGGTTTTTGTTTGTATGTGATTCATCACTTGGTTATAAATTATAGTTGAAATATCGATATGAGAAACTCGTATCTCTTTTCATTTTGTTTTGCCTACCTTACAAATTCGATCACTTCAATTTAAATATATCATCAGTTTTAGCCTTTCTCCATGCAATAAGCTCTGAGTAACCAAATTATATCAATTACTTTCACAAAGCACTTTTAACTTTCAATTTATGACATGATCTTGTTTATCTAGTTGCCGAATTGCTATTGTTTGCTATTGTTTGAACAAAATGTTTTAAGAGTGCAACTTTTAGGTAAAATAATATCCTACAACATGTACTTCGTAGTATATATTGACTATTGATAATTAACTTCTTTGAATAGTATAAAGAATTGTGTATAACAAATGGATCATTGTTTATTTTAGTTAAATTATTTTGAAAATCACGAAATATGTCTTTGGTTATCAAATGATGTTGAATTGAATAAAAAATTAGAGCTTGAAGCTATTATTCGTCGCTATGGTGGTGTTGTTGTACAAAATCCATCTGAAAGTACTTTTTGTATTGTTGCTGATAAGCTTACATTAAAGGTAAATGTGAAATGTGTTTTCAATTTTTATTTTTGGATTATGAATGATATTTTCAATTTGTAAACTTTTTTTAGTTTTAATTTAATCCATTGAATATCTAATTTTTCTACTGATAACTGAATAAATGACCAATGAGTTGATAAATCAAATCTTCTGATATTTCGTGACTCAGTGTAAGCTACTTCTTCATCTTGTTGTGCTAACGAGGTATGGCAACTTGGACCGATGCATAAATATGCCTGGTCCTACGTTGTAGCTGACTGACTGACTTCTTCAGAGAATAAATAACCAAATTAAATTGATCCAAGTTTGAATAGTACAAAGGAACAAAACAAGAATATTAGATGCGATCAATTATAAACAGATCTGACTTGGTCAGAATATTTAATTTTTCTATTGACAACCTAAAAAGTGATTGGTTAGTTTACTAAAGCTTTTCACAGTTTATTCCCTTAGTACTTGTCTAAAAATTGTTGATTTGAAATTGAAATTTATCGATAGAAATATAAGGAGATTTTCGGTTTACTGACTAGAAATTATTTGGGATATTGTATCAGAGTTATGTTTTCGTCTAGTTACGTAAACAGTTTTTATATCCAAACAAACAATACTAAGTTTTTATATCTATTTATCAGATTAGTTTTCCTTTTTATGTGCACTATGTTTTATGTTTGACTTCACTCATTACTCCATGAGTAAGTTAAATGAAATAAGTTTATGTATTCTCTTAACCAAGTGCAACATCTATCAACTTGATTTTGCCTCAAAATGGGATGAAATCTGTAAACACCTTCAGGATATACATTATTAATACTCCAAGTCATTAGTATTCTTTTGTGCTAACTAGGTATTCTGTCATACCACCCAGAGTAAAATAAATGAATCTGGTCTTGAATCTGCTAAACTCAGTTCCTAGAAGCACTGTGGTCATTAAAGAACTACTGTACTTGTTACTCTAATTATATTTTCACCATTAAAGTTAACATTGTTTTTCATGAATTCTAATAACATTTTATTACTTCAGACAAAAAATTTACTGAACTATTCCAGTACTTCAAAAAAACGCTCTTCATTTATTGAATACAATGTAGTTCACTTGAATTGGTTACTTGCTTGCATCAATAAAAAATCTCTGTTAGCATGGAAACCAAAAGATATGTTTGCAATGAGTTCATCTGTCGCTGCTAAAATGGCTCAAGAATATGACAAATTTGGTGATAGTTATAGTGAACCGATTACATCTGATGAATTGAAATTAATCTTTAATGATATTTCATGCTATGAATCAGTCACAGAAGAGAAGAGAGGTATATCAAAGTTAACAGTAAGTTGATTGACTTCTAACTTTTTTTTTCATTTCATTTAAGTAAACTATAATTATCTTCAGGCAACTACTTATTGGACTTAATAGTTGCTTTAATACTACTCTACGTAATCCACCACACTTTATGTGATGATTCAATGTCGAATACGCGTTATAGTGTGAATAAGTATTGTACTCATCTAGATGTCAAATTAATCTATAAGTGTTCATCATACAATCCTCGTCACATATAGTTACTTTCCTATCTGCATCTAAAACGCGGCTAAAATGTGGTAAAAAGAACTACAGAGTAATGTATATTCTTTGAATTCAGTAGTATTTAGTTGTACGTACTGTTTAAGTGAAAAAGGTTATATTGTGTGATAATTCGTTAACTCGTGATAAATAATAAATACTACGTGATTAATTATCAACAAATGTTTTAGAAAAAAAATCATTGTTATCGTTTTGTTTAACTAGTTTTTTGGAAATATCGTTTACTTAGTTATCCTGTACTACGTATTAATTTTTATCCAATTCTTATGTTCTCATCGATACACTTATGAGATTAAACAGTGATAAATAGAGCTATATTAAAGGTAAGATAATAACTCAAAGTCAGTTGTAAGTTTTCAAGTATTCTAATTTTAGTGAATCTATTCACGACGAACTTTTAAATGAGTTACGGTTCTAGAGTACAACACTCATCTTTTAATTGATCTGTTTTCATCCTTGAAGTTCTGTTATGAATAAGTACTGCTATATTTTCCTAATGATTTATATCGTTCAATAAATATGTTTTCATAGTTTAAATCAGAAACTAAACTTTGTTAGACCACCATTAAAAACCTGTAAGGACTGAACTTATGTTTCGTTCTAGTATAGTCCATCAATGACTTTAGATTCTCTTCTACAGTTACATATCACTTTGTTTAAGTAGTTGATTATCACTATTTCAAATTCATTTTGAATTGTTTCATCACTATTCGAACAATATTCGTATTATTTTCTTCTTCAGGTTCCAAAGCTCAGTCATTATTCAAAATTAAAACTTTTATTAAACGAATTTGCAAATGATATGGAAGTGTTACATCCTTTGACGGGTTATATTCTAGTACTTATACGTCCATTGTTCAGTTTAGAAAATGATGAAAAGACTGTACTGACTAGTTTGGAAATTCACCAACAATTAATGATTATTGATTTACGTAGACTTGGTTCAATGTGTATAGGACCTATTGATATTTATAAACCGGAGTCTGTATCTAATTTACAGTCTCTGTTGAATATGACCTATCACAATTTGTTATCTGTGGATTCACATACGAATGATTGTATGCGATCATTAAGTAATAACTGTATCAATCCGACGCATGTTATAGTGGTAAATTATCAATATTTATTGTACTGTTACTGTTTTTTAGTGATTAGGTGTTTTATTACAAAACTTTTTATTGATTAAAAAAATCTCAAATTGATTATTAATAGATAAATACTGGTCAAAATCAGTTGTGTAAATAGGTAATCAAGGAGTTGATTATCAAATTCTGACTAAATGTAGATAACAATATGGAATTACTAACAAACTGTTTGATTCATATTCTTGAAGAAAATTCGCTTGTGGGATTAGTAGTGCGATTCAAGCAGCGTAACGTCAATTTACTTATTAAGGAAAAAATCAGTTAATCATGAGAGGAAATGCAAAACTACAAAGTATCCAATAAAAACTAGAAATTCAGTTATAATATTCTTTGAATGCAGATCAACTGGAAAGTGTCAAGATTATTAGTAATCAATTTCATGAAGTAGCGCTTAGTGTTAACTGAAATCGATATAGCTGAATAGTATTATGTCCGACTATCCACTCAACATCATATATATATATATATATATATATATATATATATATATATATGATGTGTCGGCGAGAATGATGATGATTGATTGTCTGCTTAGTCAGACTTGTAGATAGTCTGACAGGTGTTAGATGAGTCCTTATTATTATTACTGATTTTTCATTTGTTGTTGGATTGTATCGGTTTGTTGTGGAAATATATTTACATTCTTGTCAGGCTAATTACGCATTCTTGATCAGGGTTGTGTTGAAGTCCTGTAGGAGAGAATTCAATGTAGATATTCATCTACGGTAAATTGACGTATATATATATATATATATATATATATATATATATATAGTCATACAAATGTAATCTAGGTCCTAAGCACTGGGTCGTGTGCTCGAATTAACATCATTTTATTTGGCTTATTTTTTGATGAGATGTTTAAAATACTCAACTAAATGTTTCTCCCTTTTCTTTCCAACACGTAGTTATCAACTTCCCAAGAAACACAGTTTAATATTTGGTTAAACGAGAATTATTCAATATTAAACTCTTGGATTCGTCAATTTCCTCGTATTCCACATTTCATCAAAGATAGTTGGTTAACTGAATGTATTATGCGAAGCAGTTGGTGTTCAGAATTGAATCATTTGATTGAAATAAACTAAAATCACAATCCTTTCATGCTGTTCACTCAGTTTTTGGAGTGAAACGGTAGCTTAATGGCTAGACCACTTGTGTTCCATCTGAATAGGTCACAGATCCAAACTGCACCTCACCTTTACTTCGGTTTGAGCAGGCAAGTAATGTCGCTAATCCTTACACAAAATATGTGGGGCTCAAGTTTTGTGAGTACATTAACCTGTACTTAGTAAATGAGCTCTATTGTTATCTTTATTGTATATTATTATTTATTTTGAGTGCAATACTGTGTAATCAAAATAAGATCAAATACTTCACATAATCTACAGTCGGATTGTTTTATGCACATTGTCAATATTTTTCCTCTCAAAATCATTTCTCTTTGAAAGCTTTTATTATTATTTTTCGTTTCTCCACTTCTGTGAATCGACCATTATTAATCCTCATTATTTGTGAAACTAATTTCTAATTTTCTTCTTTCATTATTTTTAAGAATGATACCAGTCTATTTTTGTATAATTTGGTTTATCTACTAATCTGTGATAATTAGAAAGACATAATGTCATGTTTTATTCGATAATGTTGTTGTTATTGTCGCCGTCGCCGTCGTCCCTGTTTCTAACCCTTAATATGTTTAAATGATGTAGACGTTCATTTGAATTTCACTGAATGAAAAAACAACAAACAAATCGCATTATTAGTCTAGTATTAGTTCAAACACATTTGATCCAAGTAGTTTTCTTATCTATTGGGAAGGAGGTTAGATTTAATATCGTTATGTTAATAATAGAACTGACTAATTAATGGGAAGAAAGCATTGTTTCTTTTAGAAAATTAGCCGTTATTGTATAAGTACAAGAAGTATTCATCAAGAGATTTATCGATTTGTTTTCAAGAAATTTCGAAGATTTTTTAAATTTCTTTGCCATTTGGTGTGGTTATAGTTTGTTCTAAATTCCTTAGTAAAAAAGTAATTATTACACCAATCTTCGTATATTCTTACGTTAAGAATCGTAATTTGTAATCTTTTGCCCACCTAGTAATTTGATGGATGAACCAATGTCTATCAAAGCGGTAACAATATTTTTAATTCATGAGAAATTCAATCATAACTCTTGAATTTTTATTTATCTTATGCTATGAGAAATGCAGGTTTGTATGGTTATACATTTAGTATAACCGCCCCCATTAGCGTTAGACACTTGTTCTGTTAATTTACTAAATCTTTTCATCCGAATACTTTTTTAAAATACAAACAACTAACTTAGCTTTTATTAAAGCTATAATGAGTTGATTGACATTTTTATAGACTTTTTAATTGTCTGTTATCATTTCCTCTATCTAGCTCCGTTAATTTATGAAGGCTTATTTTTTTATTCGACTTTCCCATTAGTAATTGGAGCTATGACTACATTTACCATATAACATTGTCTAATTATGCTATCTGTGAAGCATGCGAACTAACAAAGTAGTTTTCCCTAATATGGATAGTTACTAGATCAGTGTAGAGGTCTCATGATATGCTAATTTAAAATCTAAATGATTGTTATGCGTTTGTTATATCCCGAAGAGAATTATGAATGGTAACTTTGAGGACTATTTATGGACCGATGTGATATATTTCTTATTGTATAATTGTCAAGTGACTAAACTATTGTTATTCGTTTCCCTCTTATTATGAGCTTCATTTTGACCCATAGACTATTAGTATACGAATGACCGTTCTAGAGTTACCCCCAGTCTATTAATTACTGTTCCCTCTATTCACAGCCACATTTGGCTAAATCTTGTACAAATGTTATTTTCCATTTTATGGTACGATGTGGTCAGTTTGTTTGGTATATAAACCCAGTATGTTTGAGAATAATGCTTCATATTGCAGAGGTTGTTATTGATGTTCTGGACTTAACTGGTTGGGCTAGACAGAAATCAGGACTGATAAGTACTCAAGACGGCTTTTGTGTATCATTGATCTGATCGATAATTCACTCCGCTCTGATTGCTGGGAATAGGCACGTTCGTATATTAACCAGGCACGCACATAATCGATATAACAGAGTTGAAATCACTATATCAGCAAGTGTATCGGCATTGATAGATTTCAAGTATTGCGAACTTTTTAGATTACGATAATAATTTATCAAATAACTAAAAATGAAAAATTAACATAAATAATTAAATATGTACATATAATCAACATTTATTTTCCAATTTATCTCTACAACAGTCAACATCAATATGTAATGAGAAAATCTTTAATTCACAGCGAATCATATTAATAATCGTTTATTTCTTCTAAAGGTTTCTCTTATGGTCTCGTAGTTGGATTCAAAATTAGGTTCACTAAATTATATTCTTGTGAAAGAATTATGGTTTAACTAAAACAACCTTTTTTTGTTGTGGTAGTACCATCTATTGTCTTCTACTATAATTTGTACTATATTATGAGATTCTATACTACTAAAAATTCTCCTTGTGAAAATTAGAACAACACATATTACTCATGCCTGTTACCCCCAATAGAACATGGGCCGCCGACCAACATTCTCCAACTTACTCTGTCCTAGGTCTTTCTAGTTCTATCCAACTGTTGTTCATTCTTCTCATGTCTGTCTCCACTTCTCGGAATAATGTGTTCTTTGGCATTCAGGATTCCATGTGAGAGCTTACCTTGTGAGGCAGTTGGATGCTTTCCTCAATGTGTGTCCTATCCACTCCAAGCGCTTCTTCCTGATTTCTTCCTTCGCTGGAATCTGGTTTGTTCTCTCCCACAGTAGAATGTTGCTGACAGTGTCTGGCACATGGATCCGAAGTATCATGTGTAGACAATTGTTAATAAACACCCGTATCTTCTGGATGATGGCTTTCGTAGTTCTCCAGGTTTCCACCCCATACAGTATAACTGTCTCGACATTTGTATTGAAAATTATGATCTTGGTGTTGATTGACAATTGTTTTGAGTTCTAGATGTTCTTTAGTTGTAAATATGCTGCTCTTACTCTACCGATCCACGTCTTCACATCTGCATCAGATCCACCGTGTTCATCGATGATGATGCCTAGATATGTAAAGTATTCTACATCCTCCAAAGCTTCTCCATCAAGTGTAATTCGATTTGTGCATGCTGTGTTGCATCGGAGAATCTTGCTTTTCCCTTTGATGAAGATCTTACTGGAAATAGTTTTGTTTGCTGATATATGTTGTTCTAATTACGAAATTTCACAAAGGTGTTTGTAATCAGGGTCAGAATGCCAAAAACAAACACCAAAACGTCGTTTGTCTGGTATCTGTTATATAATATTTTGTAGCTGGAAACCAAAGTGGATGTAGGGAATTCTTCCCTGGAGAGATAGCATTTGTTGACCGAATATGAGCTGGGAACCAACTGATTTTCGGAACTCACGTTGGTAAGATCAGGTTACCTGTGATTACTGTTATGAAAGTAATTGGTCACATTTGACCGATTTTCGAATATTACTTTTTGAAGTGTTATTTACTCAGTCACAGTTGACTGTACATATGTGCCTTAGGAGGCATAAGTATTAAAGGAAGAATAAATTAAGTATTTGGTGGACTATACGACTTGAAGTACTTCTTTGCATTATCTTAAAATACACTAACCACCTTTATCAAATGTGCTTGATGAATCGATTCCAGTTTGAAATGTTATTGTATCGTGCTGTTTTTAAATGAAAATGTAGTCTAAATGGAAATTAAATACTTTATCGTTAAATGCAACTTTGATTATTCTTTTGCGCCTGTTAATTATATTTCATTAGTTGAACCAAATATTTATTTATTTAAACACATAAATATTGGTACAAGGTGGCACCATATATATATATGCGCCACACAAATCAAATGAGATTTGTGTGAGGGCTGTGATACTGCCCAGGTGCCCAAACTGAAGCAGGTGGTTTTCTTAGGGGCCACACTCCGAGGCTTTGAACTAAAGGTCTGGTCCACGAGGCAGTGGAGCATCGTGAGGAGATGCAGTCCCATGGTAGCCGGTGACCAACGATTGATTCATACGCCATTTATTCCCTCAGGATACTGGAGGCCATGTACACCATTGTTTTGAAATCAGGGTTTCCGACTCCCCTAAGTGGACTTTCCGTGTCCACCAACCCGGTTATAGTGCCGGACATTGGCTTTTTGTCCTCTCAATTTCGTAAACAACAGTAATGCCACGAGAATTCAGTGGGTAAGACTTCCCTGTCAGAGTCTATATACGCGTGGTCATGTGAGAGCGTTTTGAGAGGGAGAGCGGACTCTCCCCACTCTTGGCCGTACCAGGGCATTTCGGAGCCTTTATTGAATAGATCATACTAGTGAACTTCCTTTTTTCATTAAATTCTCTCTAGAAAACTTGAAAACATTCTTACTTGTCACTTTTATCATGAAAAATAAATGTTAAAAGTACGTTTATTCAGTTTCCTTTTATTTTTTTATATTTTTGTTTTCTAAGCAACACTATTATTTACATATTAATTTATATTTGAAAAAATCTAGTCAACTATTGTAAGTATCTATTTTTGAAAGTTTATAGACTATAATAGATTGTTAGTTTAATCTTTCTATTATTTTATTCCTAGAAAGTATAGATAGTAATAAATAATAAACCACAATATTATTTCCGTTTATTGAAAATCTGAATATACCAAGGTATAGTTAACCCCCTTATAACATTTCCTGTTTCCTTATTACAATGAAATAAAACTTTAAATTTTACAATACACAGGTTACTGTTTTTTTTGTGTTTTATGAGAAAATCTGTTTTTTATTTCACTAAAATGGATAAAAATAATTTAAGTCAGTGTACTAAGAATTTACTTTTTTTAAACTGTCATTTATGAATTGTGACTGGAATTATGCGAAATTTGAAGAATTTTTGAATTATGATTTTATGATTTATTTTTAGCTCTCTGGAACTTATATTGTTAATAAGCGGAGATAGATTGTAACTAGCAGTGGAATCTAGGACGCGCGTTTTGTCCTATTTTGGGGCTCGATGGCCTAATGTACC